CCCTCAGATCCTATAAACTATTACTGCCACTTCTCCCATCCCTGACATTGAACAGAAAAATAGGAGGAATAAGACAGGCCAGAAAATAGTGGTTTTCAGTCTAATCTCAAATGACAGACTATACCTCCAAGACTAGCATTCTGCTATAACAGAGAGAAAGAGTCCTAGTTCTGTAGTGTCATATACTATTTCTGCAAGTACATTTAATAAAATATATATGCCATAGTTTGGTGAGGTTAATAAGAAATATTGTACAGATTTACTACCTTTATGTTGATCAGAAGTATGTGCACGAACACTAAAATTAATCAGAAACATACTTGACAGGTATTACATATTTTCAACTATGAAAGATCCTATTATATGTATATAATAGATCTCAATGTTTTCCATCTGCAATAGACTGCTTTACCTTCAATATAAGTTGTTTCAAAAACAGCAGCATAAATGCCCTTAGTGATATAATTTCTTTCTGTGAGGGCCGAGGACCATCTGGAAGAAGTAAAATATACCACTTAAAAATATAAACTGATTCCTTGAACTACAGCTTCTTAAGGAAATCACAGTTCCTAAAACAGATTTAGTATTCTGTTCATTATATAAAAGTTCATATTTGCAAATGACACGATTTATAACCCTTAAGAATCACACAACACTAATATACATAAGCTTAAGTGATGTTTCATTTTGAAAAAAAATCCCCCCATATATATATATATGTCGGGTATTTAAAAACAAACAAACAAACAAAACCACAGGAAGATGAAAGGTAGTAATCAGGCCTACTCTCACACAACTAAACTAAGGTATATGTTCTGTAGGTGTCTTCATATGAGTCAGGAGTTTCAAATCCCCATATAAGCAACAACTCTCTCTGTTGACTAGATCTACTCAACTACTCAATGTCAGTGCCCAGTTCGGGACAAAAATTATTAGTTCTATGGATTACATTGAGTTGAATTCCACTGAAGACAATCGGAGTTTAAACACCTAGTACAAGCTACACTGTGGACATGTGAACTTAAAAGGGTCTGAATACAAAGTTGAATCTCACCTAAAATATGTAATAACAACTTGCAATAACTAAGCCAATATGGTAAATATTATCTGAATGAAATACAACAGAGAAAGGATTCATAGAATCATAGAATGGTTAGGGCTGGAAGGGACCTTCAAAGATCATCTAGTCCAACCCCCCTGCAAGGAACAGGGATATCTCCAACTAGATCAGGTTGCTCAGAGCCTCGTCCAACCTGGCCTTGAACGTCTCCAGGGATGGAGCATCCACCACCTCTCTGGGCAACCTGTTCCAGTGTTCTACAACTCTCATAGTAAAAAATTTTTTCCTAATATCCAACCTGAATCTACCTCCCTCTATTTTAAAACCATTACCCCTTGTCCTATCACAACTGGCCCTCCTGAACAGCCTCTCCCCATCTTTCTTGTAGGCCCCCTTGAGGTACTGGAAGACCGCTATAAGGTCACCCCGGAGCCTCCTCTTCTCCAGGCTGAACAGCCCCAACTCTTTCAGCCTGTCCTCATAGGAAAGGTGCTCCAGCCCTCTTATCATCTTCGTGGCCCTCCTCTGGACCCTCTCCAACTGGTCCATGTCCTTCTTATGTTGGGGGCTCCAGAACTGGATGCAATACTCCAGGTGAGGTCTCACGAGGGCAGAGTAGAGGGGGAGAATCACCTCCCTCGACCTGCTGGCCACGCTCCTCTAATGATTAATGAAACATTGGTGGTGGCCACTACCTGTAGCAGAAACTGATGCTATTTAACCAAGAGAAACTACCATCTGAAGAAAAAGTTACATTTAAACCAGAAAAAAAACCCAAATCTGTAATCTATAATGCTTTAAGCAATTGTGCTTGAGGAAGTACATTAGGAAAGCAGAAGTACCTAACAAATTGAGTAAGAAACAGAACTTGAACAACTTTATTCACTTGAACCTTGCTTTATTCTACTTACCATTCTACCTTTCATAAATAGTTAAGATTGAACTGGAAATTTCTTTGTTAAGTTTCTACTTTTCAAATAATGGGTGTCATAGACAGCCTTAAATTTTGCACAGTGAAAATAAATGCAGCCTAATTTACTTTTTCTTCAACCATTTCATCTTATGCTGATAAACACATATCAAAGCTTAGTACACTCAGTATCTCAGTATTATTTCCAATCCAGATGAATGCAACATTTTAACGAAGATTTTTTTTTGTAGTCTCTGGTGTCGCTGCTGTACACACAGTAATTCAACTTTGCAACAAGGACAAACCTGAAGGTAAGTTATATTTGTTTGACTAGCAGAAATAAAAAGAGTTTTCTTCCCTGTTTAGAGAGCAGATCTGGGTACTTGTCAAAAAGAAGCAAATAAATCTCAACCTCCTCTCATCATATGCAAAAACAGAAAGGATATTGTTGTAAAAAAATCTATCATATACGCTTTGAAGATATAGGAACAGTTCTATAGCCATACATTCTAAGGGCACCATGAAACATCTATTTCTCATTGTAGAAACAGGAGTCAGTTGGATTTTTTAGTACTAGCTGCAACTACATTAAAAATTGCATGTGTTTTTATGGCAATGGCATGCTTCTAGCCAACAGCTATTTTTTTCCCTAATTCAAATGCAGATTCAACTCTAAGCACATCACAGAAATCTGTTTATTCGCATACTCTCATCCCTCCTACACCTTACTGGGATTCAATATTGGATAATAAGTCAAAATCAGGTCTGAAAACTGAGGCATTTTGTCTTTTCTGGAAGACTGTAATTATGGAAACAGAAAACTAAAGCAATGGGGAGCTTTGCAAAGGATTTCAGTAAAACAAATTTTAAGGAAGGATTGCAAAGAAGATACCTCAAATTAACTGGGAACCTATTCAAAGATACCAGAGTTTCATACTTCTTATTCACATACCCACTAGTTTCTCTGGAGATGTGCAAGAACCTTGAAAATGGTTCTTCAACATGCAAAAGATACAAAAGGAGCTGTTGCTTGCAAGTTATTTGCTAAGCAGGCAAAATGATATTTTTTCCTTCAGTCCTCCAATAATATTTTTCCCTTGTATTTTGGTTGTGTCTTGAAGCTTCACTGCATTAGAATCAGAAAAAGGAGACAGTCTCTGCCCAAAAGATTTTATTAGTTTGAAAAATTAAAAGACGACTGGCAGGGAAAAATAAGAGAGGCTGGAGAAATTGGAGGCTATGTAATCAGTAAACAGGTACAACCAGTGGAAGAAAGCACTGCAGCAATAGCAATGCAACACTCAGCTGATACAGACTGATTGGAATTAAACTGGGAAGTTGTAAAGCTACATGAAACAGTTTTGCCACTATAATTGTTACGTCATGACACTTTTTGTCTTCATTACTAGTTGAAGATTTATTTAAAAAAAAAAAATCATTGACCAAACAATGGTATAATTTATGCTATAATTAAAAAAATATACATTATACATACATATACCGATGTAAAGAGAGACAAGTGGATCTTGTTTTTCAGCTCAAACATTGAAAAGTAGTTTTCTTTACTATTAATCTTTGTGCCCATCACTGGATATAGACAATTCACAGGCTGAGAGAGTTAGGGCTGTTCAGCCTGGAGAAGAGAAGGCTCTGGGGTGATCTTATAGCAGCCTTCCAGTACTTAAAGGGGGCCTACAGGAAAGCTGGAGAGGGACTTTTTCCAAGGGCATGTAGTGATAGGACAAGGGGCAATGGATTTAAACTGAAAGAGGGGAGATTTAGATTAGATATAAGGAAGAAATTCTTCCCTCTGAGGGTAGTGAGGCACTGGAAAAGGTTGCCCAGAGAAGTTGTAGATGCCCCATCCCTGGAAGTGTTTGAGACCAGGCTGGACGAGGCTTTGGGCAATGTGGTGTAGTGGAGGGTTTCCCTGCCCATGGCAGAGGGGTTGGAACGAGATGATCTTTGAGGTCCCTTCCAACACTAACCATTCTATGATTCTATGATTCTATAATTCAGTGTCATCATCACTCAGAAACTGATAAATAGCACTGCTAAAGATTAAATCCCAACCAAATCAACAACAAAGATAATCCTCTTAAGATCTCATACAGCAACCATAAGTCCTTAACACAAAATAGCAACATTCTTGTTAATTGGCAGAGAGAGAGGATGCCTCCCTTATCCCACACCAGGATGAGTCACTAAATCATTTCCTGCTTTTAGATTCTTTTTGTATGTATTTATTGCAGATAGCACATGATTTGCATCAGATTTTTTTAAATATACACCCATAATGAGAGTTAGCCAGCTTTATCCAGACAAAAATCAATGAAAAAAATTTATCCAATTCATCCCTGCAGTACAGAGCAATTATAGGAGCATAAACCAGAACTAATTTAGAGGGAATAAGTAAATATATTCACAGGGTAAAGTAAAATCAGTAATGCTGTAGAAAACTGATTGGGAGCTTTGAATAACAAAAATAATGATTCCTAATCCTGTCTTTGGAAAGAAAGGGTTGTGTTATCAGTTCTACCAGCAATCAAACACAACATTCTTCCATCTGGCTTTTTTATGTGTAAAACAATGATTTTTCTACTCCTTAAATTAATAAAACACGATACAGATAGCAGAATCTGATCTCCACACATGCATAGATAACATCACGTTATCTAGATCGCAGAAGGACCTACTTTATTTCTTACTGTTTCAAAGCTAATAAGAACCGAGTTTGACTCTAACTCAGCCATTGAAATAACTCTGTGCAACTTTTTCTATCCACAAAAAGAAATAACTAAATTATTTTTTTTATTATTTTTCTGTTATTGCCTTCATTTTATGTTTTCTGATTACTGCACTATTGTTAGTCCATCAGTATTTTCAGAGAATACCATGCAGTTAGTAAGTAATTCCAATGAAGGTTTTTCAAGGCATAAATACCCTGGTGGGCTCTAAGAAGTTCTCTCTTAAATTTTCAGAAATTGTACGTCAATTAATTCAGCAAAACAGAGATTATTTAAGTGCATAAATGTTTTATTTTTATTTTAAAAGTTTAATAAAGATTATTAATTAATAAATTATAATAAATAATAAACAATTAGTAGACTTCCAAAGATGAAAATAAGAGTGCGTTTAAATTTTTCTTTGTCGATATTAAAAATATGCAAGTTTTGCTCCTTCTGAAAGACAACGACAGCTTGTGGGTTTTTTTTTAATTATCAGCCTAGTACATATTTTGAAAAGATGAGACATCGAAGAAGAACGAAGACTGGTAACATAGCACTACGACGTCTTTGGCAGCTTGAAGTGTTATCATTGAAATGCACCACCTACCATAGCAAGATAAAGAGTTAAATCTCTTCTCACTTACCCTCTTATTCATTCTCAAAATCCACAAAAGGAAATAATTATAGAAAAGTAGTAAAATAATTTAATATCATTTTTACTCAATTGCCTGCTTCACTGTATCTTTAGATGCTGCAACTGTTGGGTAACCATATGATCTTCTCCCACCTTCACATCTTACGCTGTATGATTTAACAAAATGCTAAAGGCATGCACGTGGCAAATAAAGAGAATAGCTACAACCATAGTTCAAGTGTAAAATGCAAAATACAATAAAGCTCAGGCATTCTTTCCTGTGGAAATTGGTTTGACTTTTTCTGTTCTTCCTGACATGTGAATTATTTCATAAGTTTACTTTTAACACGTTCTTAGTAAAACACAAGTCACTTTTGTCCTGCCACCTATTTATAACTGCTAATTGAAGAAAACCACAAACACAACACAAAAAGAGAAAGCAAAACTCATAATTTTAAACAGAAAACTTGCCAACACTATGTAGATCTGTATCTAAAATGTAAAACCTACTAAGATTAATTACCAAGCAAGCTGATAAGCATACATTTTGAAAAAGTGTTTCTAACACTGCAGAAGGAAACAAAATAATATAAATTTAGTATACTGAAGAAATAAACGTTTGAAACAATAATGAAAGAGAAGATACAAAACCAAATTTGAAACAAATATTTGAACCTTTTAAATCATCTAAAACATTTACACCTCCTATTTTATAAGCTGAATAAATAAGCTGAATAAGCAGAAGCAAAAGGGAAACTTTCATTTTTAAGAAAACAGTGTTAGCCTAATGGGAAGCTTCAATATCGAGCTACTATGGCTTTAAACAACGTAACTGAACTGTCAGCACAGAAAACTCATCCACTTTGTGCTTTATTAAGACAGGCAAAGGCAATAAAATCCTGAGGCAGAGTAACAGTCTGAAAGCAATAGTAAATCAAACTACTAATATTAAAAAATGTTTCAGTATCTCTGCATAAAAAATGATATGCCTAGAAGACAAGAAAGCATCACACTACTAAAATGTCTGCATGAATAAGCTCAGTTTCTAATGCGACAGCAAATTATTTGAAGGCACTATAACACATTCATTGAAATTTTGGATATTAGCAAGATTTCCATTAAAGTCTTCTTCAGATCTGAAAAGGCTGATGTTAAGTAACCTTGGAGTTTCAGTTGTTTCTGATAAGGGAATATCATATGCAAGAAAATCTATGATTTTCTTGTATTATGACATTTTTCTGTTTCTTACAGTAAAATTACTGCTCACAGACAATGAGTCCTGTTCTTTCATTTTGAAATATCAAATGTCACTTAAAATTCAGCAGCTCTAAGATTCATATAATTGTATTTTTACAGCGTAAGTTTCTTACTTTTACAAACTTTCTTTTTCACATTATTCTACATTTTAACAAATTATAAACTTGCCACATACATGCGGCAGTAGTGGTTGTATGTAGGCTAATAAAAATCAACACAAAACCAAAATCCTAGAAAAGTTAACTTTTTTGAAATATTAGGATTGGTGAAATTATGAGATGATGAAAATAGAGGTGGAAAGAAAAAACATTAACCATATTAACTACAGCTACTTTTACTATTCTATGAGCCTCATCAGCCAGACCTGCATATCATATTGGCAGATTGCACTTAATGTTACAAGAGCAAGCAACTGGTGAAGAAAAGTGATGTAATATCCAGGTGATGAAACATTTTGAAAAGTTTTCAGGAATTTTATAAATTGAAAATAATTAATGTGAATTTGAAAAAAAAACCAAACCTAATATGAAATTAAATTCAGCAATCCACCACCTCAGCAATTATTACATTTCCACAGTCATTTGCTTGCAAATAAACACAGTCATTACAGCTGTATTAGTCAGAAGCAGAGGCTACTTGTGAAATAATAGAAAAAAAAGTCCTAGTGCTGATTGGCATGGAGAAAATTCCATAGCTATGCTCGATTTGCACATCCATTGCTGTCACTGGTCTTCCTCCCTGACAAGCCGACATTCGTCAACTCAACACAAGGAAACCATTTTTACAGACAGGAAAAAGAGTACCTCAAAATACTTTCTTATAGATGTATCAATTACATGGGACTTTGTGCAGTCTAAGCAACAGAGATGAAAGAAGAGGATAAGGAACAAGGAAGAAAGCTGAGATTAACATTTAGAAAAGGCAAGTTTAACTATCAATCTAATTAAAGAAAAAAAAGGAAAATTGAGGTGTAATGCATAGTAATACGTATTTTGAAAATGAGCATGGCCTCAGTTTATCAAATGCCTTCCCAACTACTGTGTGAAGGCATTATTAATTGTGGTTTTTATTGTCATACTGCTACACCAAACAACCAGTAATTCGCACTATCTGATTACCTTTCATGGACCTACCTGGTTGCCTTTCTGAGAAAACCAGAATATTGTCTGGAATTGACAGAAATACAAAGAGAATGTACTATACCCTTAAAACAGGTAAGAACAAAAGAAAAGATAGGGAAGTAAAACAGCCATATGTATGCTAATTTAGAGTTAATTGATTCATTTCTTATTCTTAATTTTGGGTCCTCGTGTACCCCATGCCTTCTGTTCAGATTTTGATGAATACATTATATATTTTTTTCTAGCTATTCAACTGGCATTACACATACAAATACTCAAAAAATACAGATAACTGCAGAGAGGCAGATCTGGGCAAGATAAAAAGCAAGCCATACCCCCTACAGAAAGAAATGTCACACTTTCCCCAAAAGAGCAAGCCTAGCCAGAGGGAGTCTGCAATACGCAATATATTTTCAAAGTGTTGTTAGGTACTAGCATCATGACACAGAAGAAAAGGGATTCTTTATTTAAGGAAAAAAAACCCACAAAAAAACCCCAAACTTACAGTCTCAAACCTATTGAGCAATTTTCCAAATCTCTAGGAGTAAATATGTTTGACACTTGGAAACTTTACCTCCCAACAGCTGGTCACTCAACAGTCATAAATACAATGTACATATTAGAAGCTGATCAGCTGAATTTTTAATATCCTAATTTCTCATGGAGCTCAGGTATGGTTCGCTTGTCTGATAGTAAAACTGTACGTATGCAGCATAACAGTGAAACCCTCAACAGAGTAGAGTTCTGAAAGCAGGAAGCTGGATAAAGTCAGTTCCAGGGTAGGACTCAGCTCAACCTAATTTCAGACATCTGCAGTGTAGTTGACAACACGTGAGACCAGCTTCTAACCTTCCACGGAAGTCAATGGAGATATAATCAACATAGCAAATGGGGTCTAGAAAGCAACTGCCTTTCAAACTAAATAGTTCTCAAGGCTCTGTTGAATAGGGGTAGGACACAGCTTCCCAGAACATACTTACTAGTATGATTTGACATGCCATAAGGTATCAAAAATATCTACACAGAACAAGCAGATTTGACACAGGATGCACAAGATACCTGCATCCTTCTGAAAGGCAGGTGGGATGCCACAAAGAGACTAAAAAGATCATAGAAATTCATATTCAGGCAACTGACTCCTGCATTCCACTATCTATAAGGCGCAGACATCTAGCTCAGATGGAGACACTTTCATTGTAGGTACCAAAAAAGAACTTAATTCCATTTTCGCAGAGGGAATCCAGAATCAGTGTAAGTGGAAAATCTATTTTATCACTGACAAAAATTTCACACTAATTAAGTAACCACTGCAGTTAATTTTCATAATCTGGTATTACAAACTTTTCATTCAAATGAACAGACAACAGAAACATAGTGTGCTTTTGTTAGGTAATTTAAAAAGAAAAATTAATTATTGTATGAAGAATAGCATTCGTCTAATATTATACTATAAGAGAACTATAAATGAGGTCTCAGCTCCAACAGCAGCTCTTTCTGTGATTCTCAACAAATTACAACTTCATTGTCTATTAGGATACCTAATCTAGGATAAGAATTATTCCTACTATTTTCATTTATTAAAAAAAAAAAATTGAAGAAAAATCTTTTGCATACAGCTCACTTACAAATTAAGAATTATCCAATAACTTATATGTCATATATGTCACATTCTTAAATATGTGGATATGTGACAGCGCTAAAACATCCCCCAAGTATTCAATTTCTCAGCATGACAGTAATAGTTACAGAATAAAGATAATTAATAAGTTCTCCTATATCAATTAATTTTTAAGAGACTTTGAGCCAAATCCTCCCTGCTTTACACAAGTAGTCAGCTAAATGTAATGACATTACAGCTGGAGTGTATAGGATTAGAATGATTTGATGCTCTGGTTAATACACATCTGTTACACGCAGTGTTTAGCCTGTGTGTATTATTGTATTTTGTTGTTGCTGCCATTCAATGCTTCCTGAGCTAAGCTCATGACTATAGGCAAAGTTAAATCAATCTCTATTTTATAAAGCCAGAGAAAAAAATGTTGTTAAACTGGAAACAGCTTCAGAGATCTCAGCAGTGAGAACTGGAAGTTTCTACTCTGTTTTCAGTCACCTTCCACTACCAATCATTCAAACCCCACAAAGCTTTCTGTAGCATATGAAATACAGTTAACATTTCCTTTCTGTTACAGAACAAGAAAAATCAGTGATGTTAATATGTTTCCTGAAGTATGCCCACATAAGTATATGCTATGCAAACGAAGACTAGAGTTGGAATATTCTGGGAATACATACAAACATAAGGAATTATGTTATTATTAGAGGTGTATGACACACCAAAATACTTGCATAGTCCTGCCATTGACCACTGGTACTCATTATTGCATTACCTCCTTGTCTACAGATCCGAGAAACTTCCACACAATTTACATCATGAATCTTCCTATATAAGAAATGCTTATATTTTCTTTCTCACACATTGTACTTACCTAATCCTTTAGGAGTAATGCCACTGCTATCAGCAGGATTAACCACCCAGTAGTAGTATTTCAGTGTGTGCATTAACTGCAGCACTGTCCCTACTCTGCGTATAGTGTTATAGATCGTAGCAGTTCCAATGAATTCAGCTGACAAGTAGGTGTATAAAGACAGTTGCACCTGAAGAATGAAATAGTTATCCACATTAATGCAAGTTATATATTAATAACATATTTGTTGGGTTTTTAGGATTTACTTTAGATATGATATAAAACCCTAAAAAATAATAAAACAACTTTACTTAGAGTAAGGACTGAACTGACATCTGGAATGACCTCCAGAGTCCCTTCCAATCTAAATTTTCTATGATTCTATGATGTATGTCACAATAAAGATACTGGTTTGTTTTCTGTTTTGGCTTTTTATACTAAAAGTACATGTTATCAGATTTCAGGATCATGTCACTTTTCACTTTGGTCCACATTCCTTAACTGTGATTATTTAGGAAAACAATGAATTCATTATCACCAGAGACAAACAATAACTTTTTATAGTTTTTATCAAATCAAAATACATAATTTAAATTAAAAGTTTACTGAATGTGTAAAAAAAAAGATATCTTACCTTTTACTTACAACTAAAAATACATACTTTTTAACTTAATCTTTAGGAAAACAATGTAACACAGCCACTGACTGGGTTTCTGGAAACAGCCTTTTGATATAATTAGCCAGAACCTTAGGCAAGAATATAAGTGCTATTGCAAACTTAGAAAAGACATTGGAGAATACAGTTAAGCAGGGTATAGACTTCATGATCTAAAAATTCTTTGTTATTATCATGTTTTAAAATAAATTAAAAACTATGGTCTAAAATAATACTTGTAGGAGAGTCATTACATCATTCAAGTGTACGATTACCTTTGCAGGGGTATGTATCCAGATAGCAGGATTAAAAAGGATGTGATCACATAATTGCTTCAGTAGAGGTGCCCCGTGAGACAATCCATCCAAATATTTCGCAAATGATAAAAATTGTTCCAGAACTGCTCTGGTTATATGAACTCTAGATGACTGGAGAAAATAAGAAAGAACAAAGATAAAGAAAAACTTTCTTCCTTAATATACTTAGAGCAGAAATATGAAGTGATATTTTCACCAGGTTCATCTTTACTAAATACATGCAACCTCGTATGTTTTTACGTCATTGAACATGAAAGGAAAGTAAGAAAAAATATGAGTAACATATTTTCTAATAATATGAATGGTCTTTCTAATGTCTTAAACAGGTTAAAAATACTCATCAATAACTGAGGTTAAATACTTTGTTTGTTTGTTTTATTATAATGCAGTAAGGCTTCTACATTTTACAGCACAGTTCTCTTGAGAGCTTCATCTGACGTCCCTACCTCTTCTTCAGTTAATTATGTGTCTTACTGAAATTTGGGTTCTTAGTATGTAAACACACATTAGTGGTAGACTTGCTTTTGTTTCTTAAACTTAAACAGGTATTTGAAGGATTTGGGTACAAGGTTTCCTCAAATTTCAAGAGTCTTTCAGTTTCATAGCACATGCTATAAAATCACTGTTGAGACCTGCTCCTCTGCAGTAACATGGCATGCGGACTTTGACAAACTTCTTTATACACTAAGTTTACAACAGGAGCTGATAGGAAAAACCACTAAACATCCTTCCCCTTGCCTTCCCTAAAAATGTTCCAATTACTTTTAATGCTGTAAGTACAGTCTGGAAACAGGCATATTTGTTATTTTTAGAAGTTAAGTCCATTTGTCAGCAATACAAGTTCAGCCTGGATGCTGAGTTTCCTTTGGCTTGTGCATCACAATTCACAATAGTCTGCAACTAATAAGGATAAAAATGTTATTTCAAAGTTCAAATAGTTAAAAAAAAAAGTTTTCTGTCCTCTCTGAAGTATTTGATCACATGCAAATGAACAACAGGTAATTTACAATTAATAAAATTGAGCCTAGCTAGGAAAAAAAAGGGTTTTTTACTGCCATGTGTCCCAACTGAATATAAGCATATACTGAAAGAATATAATACATTCTTTTGAAAAAAGTGCAGCTAAGGAGAATATAGCATAAAACTCCCCCGAAAACGGCATATGCTGTAAGAATTATGTTGTGACAGAAATCAATCAAAATCCTTTAAATGTTCACACTCCCTGAGTTTAATGATTGTAGCAAGTGTCAATTACAATAGTACACAAACTTTTTTTTTAATTTCACATACAACATTCTAAATTGATGTATTCAATGTGTGTTAAACATAGCACTCTATTCAAGAGAAAGTGACTCCATGAGGTCTCACTAGGCTGCCTGTATATAACTTAGAGAAGGAGAGCTGACAGTTTTGTAAATTAATTCTGGTTGTGTCACAAGAAAATCTACCATTCAAAAAAAAAAAAAACCACCTTAGACTAGTTCTTCGACATTCTAAATCACACTTAGCACAGAAAACAGAGAAGCATATGAGCATAGAAAATAATCTGCTTTTAGGTATTACTTCAGTGAAAGTAAAGTCTTTCTACTATAAGAATGCATTTCCCTAGCTGAAAATAACACAGGAAGCAGAATGGGAGAAATTATTCATCATTCTTCTTCAAAAATCAGTACATTTTTACAGGTGAGATTATCGTTATTTAATTTGACCATCAGACAACATGAAGCTCTGGTCATAACTTCTCAAACGATTGTTACACTGACTGCATGCTAATGAAAAATGAAAAATGCAGTAGCAGACATTCAAGAATGTCAGAGCCATGAGATTCAATTATAAGAGTATTACTATATTTGTGCAGTATCTTTTCAGATTATTACATCACAGTAGCAGGGTTTTGTGAGGGCTTTGGGCCAGGAGGCAGATAATGTTCCTCAGACAAGCATCCTAACTGAACTTCAGTTTAGTGATAACTGCTCACCATGTCTGAAAACAAGCAAGTAAAGGGAATGCTGTTTGCAACTCTTTCTTTCAGACATGAAATTATTTTACATTTTTTCTTCTTCAAAACACAGAACAACTATTTCAACAATTTCAGAACTGAGCCGCAGAGAATTAACTGGATTTTTATTAACATATACACAAAAAGAAATTTAAACCTAAATTATGACGTGTCTGTGATATGCTTGTACGAACTGGGAAAAAGAGAACTCTCCTAAACGAGAGTTTGGGGGACAGGGAGTGAAGAAACTCAAATTAAAATACATTAAAGTGTTTCACAAACAGATCTAAAGTAAAAGTATGAATTAGACAAACAGGATCAACTCCAGAAAATTGATTCTTTGAATATTGATATATAAGAGGACAAGGAAGACAAAAAGATTCTTGTAGGCAACTTGTAAGTATTACAAATCAAAAATATATCACAAATATATTTTGTTTCACCAGTCCTTTGAGGTAAATAAATGAAGATACCACAATGACAGTAGAAATAACAAGAACAAAGGTAAAAAATGTCTCCAAACATACCTTTTCAAGGAGGTAGCCAATGACTAGAAAGCCTTTTCCACCAAGCATTTGTTCTTGCATGGCTACTGAACTCTTAAGAAGCTCCACCAAGAAAGCCAATAAGGTAGCACTGCATGTAGAGAACAAGCATTTTTTCAGATTATAAATGTAGAAAAATCGATCTGTTACATTCTCAATATTCACTAGCTATTAAGGGAACAGAAACAGGCTTAAAGTGGTGAACAATTTCTTGACAGAATACAAATCTTACTTTTTCTGTTGACAAAATTCTCCAATGATTGTTCACATATTACAACAGTAGGAGTGGGAGTTTGTATTCAAATAGTAGTGGAAAAATCATTTTATCAGCTCTCCTGATTTGACCAGGATCATCCCAGGTTTTAAACATCCAGTCCTGCAGCTTCCAGTTGTAGACAAAGATTTTGCAGTTGGAAGATGCAGGAGATGATGAGTTGGATCCAGCTGACAGTGCTGGAACGATGCAGGCAGGGGCTATGTCAAACATTTTACCATCCAGACTAACTGTGCTAAACAGTAAAATTTATGGCCAAGAAGTATATAATCATTCCATGCTTTCAGTCCCTATAGTCACTACTACCACCAAAATGAGGCATAAAATGGCTGAACATGCATGCGGGCAACAACACCCACCACAAACCACAGCGGAACAAGAGCAGGGAGGAGAGTTTCCTTCCTATTTTCTCCAGACCAAACATGAGAATATCTAGGCCTGATAAAATAAAGTCTGAGAATCACTTTCATCCAGTTAGAAAAGCAGAGAGAGACTCCAGAGGCCACAAGAAAATCACCCAGCAGCCCATCCCAGCATCATCTGTGAGGTGTTCAGAAAGCACAGGGAGGGAAAAAATGTGTTCAGAAAAGGTTACTGTTTAGAAATAAAAGAGATATGAAAGACTTCAGGAGACAGGCTTGGCATGAAAGTGAAACTATGTTATGAAAACCAACAGAGGAAATATATGACAGATCAATGCATGGCGGGAGAAAAATCACAATTGGCTCTTGAGTGTATTTTTGATTCCCTCTCACCACCCATTTGTTGCTGAAAAACCTAGAGGAAAGGGATAAAGAAAAAAACCCATCTATGCTAGAAAGGAAACATTTAATATTATTTTTCAAATATCTCAAAAAGGCAGATGACGGAATGCATTGTACGGCATACACAGTGCATACATAAAGTTATTTTTCCTTTACTGAAACCAAAATAAGTGTAACAGTTCCTAACTGTACAGACAAAAATATGCAACCATGAAGGTTCTCACACAGGTGGTGGGCACAGGTAAGGGCAAGGGTGAAAAATGTGGCTTTTGCAGCTATGAAAAAGTGAATTACAGGAAATGTCCAACCTGCATTTTATAAATTTCAACTTTACTTACAGTATCTGGTCAGTTAATGTTCGCTTGCTCTCCAAATACAATTTTTCACTTTGAAATAAATGTTGAGATTGGTTAATCCATGCCAGCACCAAAAAATAAACAATGACTTGAGGAAAACAAGATTTATTCTATTTGGTGAGCAAGGCTGCCACGCAAAAAGTACACAGTGCAGGTAAAGTACATGCTGTGAACATGAAACAGTGCCTTGTCTTGTTTCATTGTCGAATGGTCACAATAATCAGTCTAAAATCACATACAGAATGCTCCACAGAGTGTCAGCAGTAAAAGAACACAGATAATATCCATTTACAGAACTCCAAAGCTTTTATCAAAACAGCCTATCAAGTTGTCACATCAATTTCAAACCACATTATATGCATCAATTTTTTCTTACCCCGACTGAAAGTTTCTATTGTATTTATAATCTAAAATAAGATACTTACCATTTTTACTACATGACAATCCACAAGAAACTCATGTAAAGTGTTGAAGATTTATATTCAGAAACTTTTTTTTTAATTGAATAGAAAAGAAAGAAAATTCTATCTAGATAGTGCTTACTATCACCCTTTACAAGTAACCTCATGATTTAGAAGGACAACCCATTATGCATAAAGTTAAGAAACAGCTTACATCTTTGCAGGATTAGAATGGAAATTACAATAATAAATACTATTAATATTATATTGAAAAGTCAAAAAAATTCTTAAAATTGATTTAAAAGATTGTTGTACAATGAACACAGCACCAGACTTAAGTTTAAAAGGTTCTGCTTCCACTTCTGTAAGTGATTTATCAAAAGTCCTTTTCTTTATGTTGCAGTTTATTTGTCCACTGTATGAACTTAGATGAAAACTCATAGGTTGGATTTATTCTTATCTTGTATTAATTCAATTCATACACAATCGTTAGAAATTCTGATAGGACTCCAAATACAAGTTATAAGACACACTGACACCCTAACAACAGAGATTTTTCTGTTTTCTTCTTTTTAAGTACACATAAAACACACCAGTCAACTCAGAAATAATCAGTGGCCAGATAATATTTAACCATGCCACAGACACAGAAACATACAAGCTGGTTCTATGCAAGAAAGATTGAATCAACAAAGTTTATTAATTCAGATAGAATTATAGAGCCCAATATATAGAATTACAGAGCCCAAATATAACTTTTTAGATATTAACCATCTTTATATGGGGTATGGCTGAGCTGATTAATCCTGCCTGTCTACACTAGCTCTGCAAAGAGCTAGGTCAGCTGTCACTGCAAAGTGATGCCAATGTTTCTAGTTCCAGGAAAATGTATTAATTCAGCCAATACTTTTGTGAATGAGCTATGCCTCTTTCCAAGTCCAAAATGGCTTTTAACATCTATTGCAACAGACACATAAAGACACAAGTCAGCTCTGCAGAGTCAGCTCAGGTTTGCAAGCAGTAACTCTAGCTTCTGATTCTTCTGCATTATCCAAGATTGCCACCATAAATAATAGAGCTGACTATAGTATATAATAATTCAAATCTTAGGATAGCACACGTGAATGCATCATTACACTTTACACCTTCAAGCATATAAAAAATTCCAAGCACCAGAAAAAAGCAGTAGTTAAGGAGAACCATAGAAGCCCCATAGAAGCAAAATGAAGTTTGAGGTGAATTCTCTAAGGGACAATGTTATTGATGAAAATTAGCACCTTAATTAAATATAACTAGTAGTTTGTCCACATAATTATGCAGGAAATGAATGTTCTGCATAATATTTTAACTGATAGAAGAACTGTAAGAATAAAATGGAAATGTTCTTAAATTCTCACTGCATGTACAGTACTGAAGCTATTACTATCTGAAGATGATGATCAGAGACAATTAGAAAACAGTACATGCTTAGTCTGATTTTTTTTCCAGAAATCTTGCTTACACTTGTTTCAGATGAAACTTCTTTTTTTGGAGGAGGAAAGGAGGGAATGAAACTGCACTAAATAACAGCTGTTGCACAAAACACTGCTTTTACATGTTATGTTATCTATCTTATATATTTTATGCTAGAGAGCATTCATTCTACCTGAAAAGACCCAACAGATAACAATTCTCAAATAAGCTTTCCCAGCCTCTTCAAAACTTCTCTTTCC